GCGTTAGTATGACATCGGTTAATGTAGGAGAACTGTTAGTAGAACATCAGTTACTGTAGGAGAACTGTTAGTAGAACATCAGTTAATGTAAGAGAACTGTTAGTAGAACATCAGTTACTGTAGGAGAACTGTTAGTAGAACATCAGTTACTGTAGGAGAACCGTTAGTATAACATCGGTTAATGTAGGAAAACTGTTAGTAGAACATCAGTTACTGTAGGAGAACTGTTAGTAGAACATCGGTTAATGTAGGAGAACTGTTAGTAGAACATCAGTTACTGTAGGAGAACTCTTAGTAGAACATCAGTTAATGTTGAAGAACCGTTAGTATAACATCGGTTAATGTAGGAGAACTGTTAGTGGAACATCACTTAATGTAAGAGAACTGTTAGTAGAACATCAGTTACTGTAGGAGAACTGTTAGTATAACATCGGTTAATGTAGGAGAACTGTTAGTAGAACATCGGTTAATGTAGGAGAACTGTTAGTAGAACATCAGTTAATGTTGAAGAACCGTTAGTATAACATCGGTTAATGTAGGAGAACTGTTAGTAGAACATCGGTTAATGTAGGAGAACTGTTAGTGGAACATCACTTAATGTAAGAGAACTGTTATTAGAACATCAGTTACTGTAGGAGAACTGTTAGTATAACATCGGTTAATGTAGGAGAACTGTTAGTAGAACATCGGTTAATGTAGGAGAACTGTTAGTAGAACATCGGTTAATGTAGGAGAACTGTTAGTAGAACATCGGTTAATTTAAGAGAATCTTTAATGGAACATCAGTTACTGTAGGAGAACTGTTAGTATAACACCAGTTAATGTAGGAGAACTGCTGGGAATTTACACCGTGAATTAAAAGATGAGAACTGTTAGTAGAACATCAGTTAATGCAGGAGAACTGTTAGTAGAACATCAGTTAATGTAGAAGAACCGTTAGTATAACATCGGTTAATGTAGGAGAACTGTTAGTAGAACATCAGTCAATGCAGGAGAACTGCTAGGCTTTTACACCGTGATTTTATAGATGAGAACTGTTAGTGCTTTCACGATGTGAGTTATTGTATAATATTTTTAGTACTTCTACAACGTGAGCTAATGTTTGAAAACTACTCGTGTTTCTATCATGTGAGCTGATGTATGAAATATTTTTGTGATTTTATAACATAAGTTGATAAATAGGAATTTTTAGAACTCTTATTAGTGGGTCGAAATAAAGTAACCGTTAAACATTTTGAGCATGATGTGACGTAAAACCTGTTGTTCTTCCTATAAAGTTAACTGATGTACAAGAACTGTTAATACTCTATCATTTTAGATGATGTGTTGGAACTGTTAGTACTTCATAACTTTAGATGATGTGTTGGAACTGTTAGTACTCCATAATTTTAGATGATGTGTTGGAACTGTTATACTCCATAACTTTAGATGATGTGTTGGAACTGTTAGTACACCTATAACTTTAGATGATGTGTTGGAACTGTTAGTACACCTATAACTTTAGATGATGTGTTGGAACTTTTAGTATTCTATAACTTTAGATGATGTGTTGGAACTCTTAGTATGCCTATGACTAAGGTACATACTTACGATTTCTTACATAAGTGAGTCAGGTGTGGCCAAGTAGTTAGCATGTTTGGAAAGTGAATCCGAAGATCCATGGTTCGCGACCCGTTACAAAAAAACCAACAAAAAAACGTGAGGCCACTGATCAAATCCTACTATTTGATCAGATAAGAGTTTTTGGGGGTGGATACTGTTGTGCTGATGTATAATAACTGTTAGTATTCATTGAAGGTGAGTTGATTTTTAAGAATTGTTATAGTTCCTACAGCCTAAGTTAATTTAAAGTAACTGGTAGTATTGTTATAGCTTGAGATGACGCACAGGAACTGTTAATGTTCATATAACGTGAGCTGATATATACATATAACTATGTTAGTTCCTAAACAGCCAATACTATCTATTGCTATTATAACAAACGCTCGAGCTGTAGAACTTGTTGTGATCGTGCTTTAAAAAAGTTAAAGCATCATATATTTAACAGAATAAGAGTTTTAGAATACGTGCCTAACTTTAGGGGTTGCTTAAGCACGTTTCAAAGTACTGAGTGTTTACGAAATATACTTACAGTAGACGTAGCGACGAGTAGCGTTGCATTAAATGAGATTTGTTGAGCCAAATACAATATGTTTTCCTTTTAAAGCTTGGCAAAAAACAGATTACCTAACACAATTTGGAATAATCTGAACACATCTAAATGTCATGTGGCCTATCGATAGAAATAAAGATTTTAACGTTTAAATCTATATTATATTAACCTATAATAAAATAGCATTAGACTCGAAGTTTTAAGGAGTAAAGGTACTGGCAGATAGTCTGGCATGGTGAAGTTTCATATCAGTAAACATACATGATCTTTTGGGCCTGTTCTTGTCACACATGCAACATGCATACAGTAATTACGTCGATCAACGTTGTCATGACGACTCACGCGTATTTGTTTCTTCGTTGTCCTGACAGCACATAAAACAAGAACACATCAGCTCCCTTTTTTTTAAACCCCTTCCTACCAAAAATAGAAATAACTTGAAATAATACTTTAGGGGGGAAAGAATTCGGTTTTAATGATGAACAATATAATAATTAACACAGTTACTAAGAGACTATTCAGTAGGGTTAAAATTATGATGCCCTGTCTTGATTTTACAATATTAACCTCTGAAAACTGGTGTAATGTATTAATTTGACCGTTGGATACCCTTACCGTTTCCGACTTTGAGCCAAGATTTTCCACCAGCTTACGATTTCTCGCATAAATGAGTCAGGCGTGGCCACGTTCTTAGAGTGCTCGGAAAGTGAATCCGAAAGTCCCCGGTTCGCGACTCGCTACCACAAACTCTGCTGTTGGCTATGCTTTCTTTCTAGTCTACGAGATCAAAATTAGGAACGATCATGCCCAGATAGACCTTACTGTAGCTTTTCGCGAAAATCTCAAACAAACAATCGTTTCCCAGCCCATAGGTGAAACTCGTGAGTCCCAGGGGATGAGCTTTTTCTTTCCTTGTTTTGAAATTCTTAATAAATCACTAAGATGTAGTGGAGGTGTCATGTGAAAATAACTACCACATAGTTTAATTATCACTAATAAAACTCTAAGGATAACATCTGGTTAAGGATATTCATACTTACTCATTCGTCCATGTGTGTTATTAACAATTGTCAAAGATGCCGCTAGGAGTATATTTCCATCTAATAGTATCTAGTGAAAACATTCAAGATTCAAGACTATTAATGCGAATAATGTTTGTTTGTCTGTTGTTAAGCGCAAAGCCATACATGGGTTATCTGTATTGTTCCCACCAGGGGTATCAAAAACTCGGTTTTTAGCGTTATAAGCCTTCGGACTTACCCCTGAGTCACTGGGGATAATGTGAAGTAGAAATTAGGTATCCTCCACAGTTTTACAGACAAAGAAATTTTATAGAAGGTATATTTAACAATAGAGTGAAAATTTCTCTTCCATGATTGGGTTTTTATTTCATTTAAATTTCAAGCTTTCGATTAACGTTTCAAGCATATCGTCCACGTCATAAGCTTACGTTAATACCTGAAAAGATATATATACAAGAATAGCAAAAATTGTTAATTTAAATGAGGGGAATGGAGATCTTCAAAAAAGTACAGAAAAGTTGAATCAAAATGAAAAAAGATTATATTTTCAAATCTACAACTAGGGACTCTAGGCTGGAAATAGTGTCTACATTATTTTTACTATGTCTACAGTACTTATCAATTTTTAAATTAATAATTTTTCCTAATCTTGTTTTTAAGTTTTTCTGTGTCCATTTATGGAAAATGAATTTTAAGCTAAGTACGTGCATATGTATTCAGCTGAATGTTACATGTTTTTGAACAGTTTAATGTTGCATTAGCTTTTTTTTCCATCCAACCACCACATTGAACTTATTCAAAATAAATAACAAATCTACAACAAATAATAAACACATGTATTGGTATGCAACTACGACAAACAAAACGTAAAGTTGTTCTCGTAAGACCATCTTGAAGGCAAAGATTGTATCATCACAGATTTAATGACCAGTTTTCATCTGTGTCACAGTGTAATGTTACAAAAGATGAGCAGGAACAAAGCAATCTCATCAGAATGGAATAATGCTTCGTCCAAGATTATACAACACAGGTTAATGCAATGTAAACAGACAGTAACATGCTGACCTTGTTAGGTCTACACGACACATATGTATGTTATTCAACTTTCTGCTTTACACAAATGTTTTCTAGAATAAGGCGACACAAATAATGCATGCAAAAATAGACAACAGCGACACACTTAATGTAAATCGCCAATTATGACAACATCTACAAGCGCTACCTTAACACCAACTATTAAAAATAGCAATAGCTACATGAAATAATGCTATATGTAATGGTAATAAATATTGAA